CTCTCCATATCCCTTCTCTTGTATTTCCTTGTTAATTTAAAAGGAATTGTTATAACCCAAGCCTAATTAATCAATTCGCAACACAAACAAACACAATCAAGATTCAAGATCAAAACACACAAAAAATCAAGGCACGAATTACCGTGGTTCATCTATCCAATCTTGGATAGACTACATCCACGTTGAGCTCCAAAATACGGATACTCACAGCACTAAAAGATTATCCAATAATTACAAGAAGAAAACCATACAAATATGCCGAAATAAGCAACACTAACCTAGGCCATCAGCTCAAGAAACTCTCTACAATCTGCAAGAAACAGAGGACTTAAACAGCCTCAAGAAGGAAACGCAACCCTCTCTAACCTACCCAGATTATTCCCAGAAAGCCTCAGCAAATACCCAACCTTGGTTGCTCTCTAATCTTTCGCACGAACCCTAACTTTCAGATTAGAAAATAATGCGTGTTCACAACATTGTTGCTTCTTTATATATGCCATATCAGCAAATATCAGCCCTTGGATTGTCTTGATCTGACGGCAGGATTCCTTCAATTAACTTAAATGAAACGACCCGTTTTTGGCTTCACATTTTTTTTCAGTCTTCACCTTGAAGCCAACTCTTTCCTTTCATTTATTTTCATCTTTCTTTTCCATTTCTGGACTTCTTTTTAGTGCAGTAAGCTATCTCATTTCTTCTCAACTCTAAGAGAAATGTTATCTGATGTGAAGCAAGTTCAAGCACTGCTTGAACTTGGCTGTGGTCATACTTTGGTCCTATGTCTCTAGATTCTTCAATGGCACCTTCTAAAAGATTAATTTCTCCCTTTGCAATCAGGTCTCTGACGAAGTGATGCCGACATCCACATGTTTGTTCGTTCGTGATACAACGGGTTCTTGCTCAGGTGGATGGCACTCTGACTGTCGGAGTAAAATGTTGATGTGTCATTCAACTATCTGCTTCTTTCAGAAATCCTTGCAACCATGTTGCTTCCTGAATGCATCTGGAAATGCCACGTACTCTACTCAGTAGTGGAAAGTGCAACCAGTGGTTGCAATTGGGCTTTCCAGCTAACACAGTTGCTCCCAGTGTAAAATAATAAGCAGTTGTGGACTTCTGGAGTTCGGTCACTGCAAAATCTGCATACATACCTACAACAAATCAAGTGATGCATATCTTTTACAGAAAATTAAACCAATCTGAACAGTGCCATTAATGTATTCATCAACCATTTTAAAGCATTCCAATATTCATTTCCAGATTTGACATGAACCTGCTTATAGAGATATTGCATATGCAAATCAGGTCTTGGTGGATATCATGGAATACATTACAAACTATGACATTAGAATAAGGGACATTCTCCATTTTCAGCCTATCCAAATCTGTTTTTGGGGATTGTGACTTACTAAGTATGAAATGCTTTGCTAAGGGCATGTCACTGCTTTGGATTCATTCATACCAAATTTTGAAGCCAGTTTGTAAGTATGAGATGATGGAGGTTAAGGGTATTTGCACTTCTATCTCTATCAATCATCATTCCTAGTATTTTCTTTGCCTTCCCTAAGTCATCATATCAAACTCAGTATTTAATTTGGCCTTTAAAGCATTAATTTGAGACATGGACTTACTAATTATTAACATGTCATCTACATTAACAGAAGATAGATTGGCATGTTATTCATACAGGCAAAAAAAACAGTTGTCATACATGCTTCTAGTGAATCCATTTCTATTTGATGCATCAAACCTCTGTACCATTGTCTAGGGATGTTTAAGTCCATACAAGATTTATTCGTAAGCATACATAATCAGGCAGTTTATCCTAAAACCTAAGAGTTGACTCATGAATATTTTCTATCCAACTCACCATGCAAGAAAGCAGTTTTAACATCCAATTGTCTATCTCTAAGTCATATTGAACAACAATTGCTACCATGATTCTAGTTTTAAATTTAACTATTAGAGAAAATATTTCATAAAATCAATACCTGCCCTCTGAGTGTAGCCCTTAGCCACTAACCTGCTTGGAATCTTGTGGACAGATTCATTATCCCTTCTTTCAGTTGTACAGCCATTCGCATTCCATCAACTTCTGATTCTTGGCTTTGGAACTAGTGTCCAGGTTGTTTGAGTGCAATGAATCCATCTCTCTTCTATAACAGCACCCATTCTTTTATGTCCCTTTAACTCATTGCCTCATCATAGGTGTTAGGTTCTGATCGATGTACCTCTGAACCAGCTAGGAGTGTTGTATAGATCAGGTCAACATAGATGTACCTTGAGGAGGTCTGATCTCCCTCCTGACTCTGTCTCTGGCTAACTGATATTGGGCCGATTACCATGCTGATCAATTCAGCATTGTCAGGAGGGTGATTCATCTCTTGCTCTTGAGTTTGGTGGCTAATCTTCAAGTGGATCAGTCTCATCTGTGGATGTAATGATCAGGATTTGTTTCAGGCTCCACCTCAAACTGAGTTGTCCAGTTTGTCTAGAGGTTTCAAAATCTTCTTGAGCTACCTGCACTGTTAGTGCCAGATTTACAAGGAAAAACAGCTTCATTGAAAATCACATCCTACTAACAATTACCCCTACCCCTGGGGCAGCCCTTTCCCACAGCTATAACCCTTAGTTCTCTTGATATCCTAGAAAAACACACTAAGAGATCTGGCTCTAACTTTCCATCTCTGGTATGTGCATAGCAGCACATCCAAAGACTCTTAGGTGTTCAAGAGATGGTCTCCTCCCAGACCACTTTCTTCAAGGCATTTAAAGTCTATTGAGCTAGAAGGGTTCTATTAAGATAGACTACTATACCTAGTGCTTCCCCCAAAAGGTTTTGGTAGACTAGCTGTGAATGAAAGGCACTAACCTCTCTAGAAGGGTTCATTCATCTCTCAGCAAACCATTCTGCGGAGGGGTTCCCCTAACTGTCCCATGCCTCAAAATTCCCTTTCTAACAGTAAGAGTCAAACTCTGGTACATAATTCTAAGCCATTGTTGTCCTAAAGTTTTCACCTTCCTATTAACTTAGTTTTCAACCAGGTTTTCGAGCCTTTAAACTTAGTTAAGGCCTCATCCTTGGACTTAAGAAGGTACACCCATACCTTCTACTATAATCATCCACAATGGAGAGGAAATAGCAATTCCCTCCATGTGTCCTAACCCTTTCAGAACCCCAAAGGTCTGCATGCACATAATCCAACCTTTTTCAGCCAGATGAGTTCCCTTTTGGAAACTCATTCTGTGCTATTTTCCAACACACAAACTTCACGAAAGTTAATTCAGATGGATTCCTTACCAAAATAGCCTTGTTGGCTTAACACTGTCATACCTTTTTGGCCTATGGGGCAAGTTCAAATGCTATTTCTCTGTAGCAGTCAGATTAGTAGAGATAAGGCAGAATTTACAGTGGAATGCGTTGCACAATCATTTTATGTATTGAATTGCACTTCAAAAGAAGAAAGATTGTGCTCAACCTCCACCTAACTCTGCTCCACCTCCAAATCTAGAAGGAATTTCTAATTTAATAGAACCACTCAAGAATTACATGAGTAAGTTCCCAATTAGCTTCATAAATTCATTGAGTGCTCCTAACATTAATTAATCCTATAATCATAATATCTAATAGATATGATAGCCAGTAACAAATATGTGAAGATTACAATTTCTAATATATTATTTTTTATACTCCATTATTATTTATTTAAATAAATAACTAATATTTCTTAATATTTAGTTTTATATTGATACAATAAAGTTATTTATCTTATAAAAATAATAATAAACATATTTTACTGAATACTTACCTTAACAAAAAAAATTTCATAACTTATTTAATAATTTATCATGATGAAGAAAAATAATTTTTTACATTGTATGTTATGTTATAATATGTTATGTTATTATGTTAAAGTTTGACTTTAGCAAGCTAACAATAATTTAAACATACAATGTTCAATAAAAAATAATTTTAATTTTAATTTATTACAAAATGTTTTAGATCAGAGGGCAGTTTTTGTCTAAACAGTTTATAAAAGATTCTATTCCATTAACAATTCCTACCGTAAGTAAACAATATAATCCTATTTTATTCTCTTCTCTTCTCATCTACCATTCCCATTCCAATTTCATAATATTCCATGAAGTAAACATGGCCTCAGTTCTTCTATTCCTACTAGATTTCCCCCTTTCTTTCTGCTCTCCCTAGTCTATCCTCGGTTTTTTCTCCCTATTTCTCTATAATCTATCTTGTCTATCTTGTTCTTCTGCTGGTTCTCCATCACTCCTACAAAAGCAAATATATAATGCTTCTCTCACAGCACATTTAGTTTAAGATCTTCTACTGTTCTAACCTTTACAATATTCTTAGGCACCCAAATCTACAACACTACGCATAGTGAAATTCAATTTTCAACTCCAAATCAATTAAAACTTTGCATACAAGAACACCTGGTCTCCATCAAAAAAGAAAAAAAATAGTATTTCCAAACATGAACTCTACTCAAGAAATAAATACCTCTATATATTTCATTTAGTCCACCAATATGCACAATTAAACAAACTTGTTCAAGCCCTCTTCTATTTTTGCCAGGTTAAACACTTCACTATATCAACCAACCACCACAATGAGATTTTTAGTATCTTCCAAAGACAAATTTAATTCAACTTTGAGTAAGTGATTCAGGGAAGCAAAATAGCTTAATAAGATTGTTGAGTATCTCCAAATAAAGCTACAAGAGCAAAGTAACCCAACTCAACTCCAAAAAGATCATGATACACGCAAACAATCCGGCTTATATAGAATCAAAACAAAGTAAAATAAAATAAAAATCACACCTATTTAAAATAGCCCTTCACACTTTCATAATGATCCTTATTTGGATCTAGACCGTTGTTAAATTGGCAAGGTAAGAGTTACAAACAAAGTGCATAGAGTAGACATTTAAGATGATACCACACCAACATAATGCCATAAAAAATTAAGAAAAGAAGAGTACCTTCAGAGAGACAACCCCAATTTTGATTGTTCAAAGACAGTAACGAAGTGAACAAGGCAGAGGCAGTAACACTATGTAATGGCATCAAAGACAGAGCCCCACCCAGCTCCACTGGAAGCCTGAATGAAAAACCCATACAACAATCCCTATTCAAGCTTAAAGACTACTTTAACACAACTGAACATTAAAACTTAACAAAATGGTAATAAAATAAATTAAAAAAACCCATAAGTACTGATCAAAAGTAACCTGGAGTAGGTGCGCTTGTGAAGAGATGACAAGCGAGAAGCAGTGGTCTTCTTAATGGGAGAAGCTAGTCCGGTAAATTTACTCGCCGTTGAAGCGGACGGTGAGCGGCTGAGAAGGGTTTTAGCTGAAGCAGAAGTCAGTTGTAGGGTTCTTCTCCCACAATTGGCCGCCATGTTTCTTACTTTCTTTCACAGAACCCTCAAAACAAATGGTTTCTGTTAATGGGCTGCCTCAACAAGAAGCCCATTAATACATCTCCTTATTTATTGGGCTTCTGTACCGAATTTTGGGTTCAAATGAACCCTATTTTTTTGGGATTCTTCTCATATAAACAGTCCAACAGAGTTGGTCTGTTGGATCTACTTGAAGCATAACCCGAATGCAATTCTTTTTTTTTTTTATATATATATATATTTTTACGTGTTATAAACCGTAATAAATTTAGATAGATTTCATATTATAAGATAATTGAATCCCTTTTTTTTTTTTTTTTTTTTCCATAATGGTTGGGTTAGTTTGTCTATGATAATTCCTTATTTCCAAGTTTGTTTATTAAAGCGCATCAGAATCAGCCCCACAGGGCAGTGGTTATAAACCTTAACAAATTTGGGATTTTGAAGTAGAAAGGTGCAAATTATAACTACATAAAATTGAGATAATAACATAACGTGGGACACTTACATATTTCAGAAATGGGCAAGTCATGGGACCATCATGGTTGGGCTTACCCACCATCACCTTCACCTTCACCTTCGCCGTCACTCTTTTACGTTCTCTTTGAATGGATTAGGATTTAGGACACCACGTCATAATGATATTATATTCGAGGCGAAATCGGGAATTTTATTAGCGAGGGCTACAAATTTTTCAAACTAAACTATTTTTAACAAAATACGTTACAAGAACTTTTATTAATAGAAAAGAATAGGAGATTATCATAGACTACCCTTAAATTTTTTAAATTTATTATTCAGATAATAACTTTAGCACTTTTTAGATAGATTATTTTTAAAGTTTAAAACTCTATCGTAAATACCCTTTACATTATTAAATGGACCCTCAAAGTTTTAAATTTTTATCGTGAAATACCCCTTTACGCTGACCGTGTCACAATGTCATTATGTTTGCAAAAAAAATTCTTATAAAACCAAATTTATCATTTTACCCTAACACTTTCTTATAAGTTACCATTTCATTCATCTACCACAAATGATAACATAACGGAGTTGGGGCAAAAAGGTATCTATAATACAGTTTCAAACTTTAAAGGTAGTGTAGTTATGATAAAAAGTGCAAAAGTAGTCATCCGAATGATAAATTTAGAAACCTTAAGGGTAGATTATGATATTCTCCCAAAAAGAATTGTACACCTATGTTAAGGACAAAATGAAAATTACCTTTCAATTTCTTCTCATCCAAAAGAAACTCTAATTATATATAAAAATAAAGTAAAGGAAAATGCAATGTGAATGAAATGGATAAGAGAGTCTAATGAAGGATTAATGTAAAATTGTAAATATATATGAAATAAATTTTTGGAACTGTTAAATTCATCTCACCTAAAGGCTTAAATACCAAATTTGTTCAAGAATAATGCTACACCTACAACTTTTTCTCACAACTCAACTCATAATTGGTTAATTTTAATTTGTTAGGTGGGACTTAGATACGATTTATTACGAGCTGACCAATTGTGAACTGTTACATCAGAATTGTAAAAGGAAATTTGTAAGAAGAGGTTAGGTATGTGACATTTTTCTTTGGTCAACAGCCTTTCACATGAAACTCAATTTTTTTTCTTATTATTATTATTTTCTTACATTGCCAACTATAAGAGAACAAGTTGATTAATATTATATATAAAAGAAAAAAAGAAACTCTATTTATTTGATATGGTATAATAGAAACCAAGATTTTTTTTTTTTTAAAAGTATTAATGAATATATTAAAAAATAAAATCATTATTTTTTTACTATATGGGAGGTTTAAATTAATGGACTTTTTAATGATTTGAAGATTGTCATATTGATTTTACTCAAATAATTTGTCTACATCAAATATGAATTTCAAGTTGTTAAAGCTAATTTTATATTTAATTTGATCATTTCAGATTTAAAAAAAAAAATAATAGCAAAATTGATCCTGGTTTAATTATTTTTTCCAAAACGTTTGACCCGAGTTGTAGCCCGGGTCAGTTAACAAGTGGTTCCGTATGTGACACATCACATATGGTTTTAAAACATAATTTATAAGGGTTGGGTTGCCTTAATTAAGTTGATTGTTTTAAGTGAAATATACATGGTGAAAGACTGAAACCCAGAAGTAAACTTGTTTGAGCCCGATCAAAATGGACAATTTCTATTAAATTGAACCAGGGATTTAATGATATTGGCTGTTTATCCACGTATTCCAAACATCACATTACACTAAACAAACATCTATCTTTATGAAATTGTGTGTTCAAGGGCAGAGTAGATTGTCGAAGATATTAAAAGAAATCTGGGATGGTATAGCTCTTGAAGCTCATTAAAGCCAAGCACTGTTTATTAATTGTAATTGTAATTTTCTATATACATATCACAATGTCATAGTCCCAGTAACCATTACATTATAAACTAGAATAGACACCAATTAATGATAGTCCAACTACTCAATAACATGCAAACCTACCACACATTAAAGAGTGAATAGTACCTTCACCATTATCTTCAAAGAAGAATGCCCAATACCAAGAGCAATCCTCATTCATCACTGCTACACTGAAACTAGATGCTTGATGTTTCTGCCGAATTAAAGGCATTGCAGTCTCATTTGAGGTCAGAAATTGTCTTGCTTACAAGCTATATATATATATAGAAGCAACTAACCAACCAACAATTCCAACTATAAGTCTATCGCAGCTATAAGTTCCCCGTTATATAGGACCTGTTTTAATGACTGTCGCAGCTACCAAATTAATTGTGAGGAATGGTATTGACAAGTTATGTCAGTGGTCCATCTAGACGGTTGAGTTTAATTGAATCCCAGCAGCAGAGCCTTATTGTACGCTGAACACTGTTGAATATATTGATACAACCTAGGTTTGGCTCAACTCAACACAACACAACAAAATCAAATATAAAGACGTTTCAATATGACAAATACTGTAGATGAAATGATAAACCCTTCGAACTATGCGTGTTTCAGAGTCCAATTAATAAGTATAGCAAACAGTAAATAGGTAGTTGACATAACAAAGATTTGTTCATTGATTGTTGATTCAAATGAAAGAGTGGGGTCATAAATGATATTAGAATCCTTGATTCATGTGCAGTCGTATATTCATTGAAGGTTCTTTAGCCACACAGACGAAATTGCTATCAACGTTCAAGTTGCATACAAAAAGCGAAGTATTTTCTGTTAAAAAAAAAAATCACTTGGCCTCCCAACGGTAGTTGTGTCTCTTTCTCCATATCCCTTCTCTTGTATTTCCTTGTTAATTTAAAAGGATATTGTTATAACCCAAGCCTAATTAATCAATTCACAACGCAAACAAACACAATCAAGATTCAAGATCAAAACACACAAAAAATCAAGGCACGAATTTACTGTGGTTCGTCTATCCAATCTTGGATAGACTACATCCACGTTGAGCTCCGAAATACGGATACTCACAGCACTAAAAGATTATCTAACAATTACAAGAAGAAAATCATACAAATCTGCCGAAATAGAGCAACACTCAACCTAGGCCTATTCGCTCAAGAAACTCTCTACAATCTGCAAGAAATAGAGGACTTAAACCAGCCTCAAGAAGGAAACGCAACCCTTTCTCTAACCTACCTAGATTATTCCCAAAAAGCCTCAGCAAATACCCAACCCTAGTTGCTCTCTAATCTTTCGCACGAACCCTAACTTTTCAGATTAGAAAATAATGTGGTTGTTCACAACACTGTTGCTTCTTTTATATATGCCCATATTAGCAAATATCAGCCCTTGGATCTGTCTTGATCTGACGGCTAGGATTCCTTCAATTAACTTAAATGAAATGACCCCGTGTTTGGCTTCACATTATTTTTTCAGTCTCCACCTTGAAGCCAACTCTCTTCCTTTCATTTATTTTCCAGTCTTCTTTTCCATTGCTGGACTTCTTTTTAGTGCAATAAGCAATCTCATATTTCTTCTCAGCTCTAAGAGAAAGTGTTTATCTGATGTGAAGCAAGTTCAAGCAGTGCTTGAACTTGCCTGTGTTCATTACTTTGGTTCTCATGTCTGCTGGACTCTCTTCAGTAGGCACCTTCAAAAGATTAATTTCTCCCTTTGCAATCAGGTCTCTGACGAAGTGATGCCTGACATCCACATGTTCTGTTCGTTCGTGATACACCGGGTTCTTGCTCAGGTGGATGGCACTCTGACTGTCGGAGTAAACTATTGTTGTGCCATTCAACAGATCTGCTTCTTTCAGAATTCCTTGCAACCATGTTGCTTCCTTGAATGCATTTGAAACTACCACATACTCTACTTCAGTAGTGGAAAGTGCAACCAATGGTTGCAACTGTGCTTTCCAGCTAACACAGTTGCCTCCCAGTGTAAAATAATAAGCAGTTATGAACTTCCTGGAGTCTTGGTCACCTGCAAAATCTGCATCTACATACCCAACCAGATCAAGTGATGCATATCTTTTACAGAAAATTAAACCAATCTGAACAGTGCCATTAATGTATCTCATCAACCATTTTAAAGCATTCCAATGTTCATTTCCAGGATTTGACATGAACCTGCTTAATAGAGATATTGCATTTGCTAAATCAGGTTTGGTGGATATCATGGAATACATTACAAAACCTACGGCATTAGAATAAGAGACATTCTCCATTTTCAGCCTATCCGAATTTGTTTTTGGGGATTTTGACTTACTAAGTATGAAATGGTTTGCTAAGGGCATTGTCACTGCTTTGGATTCATTCATACCAAATTTTAAAACCAGTTTCTGTAAGTATGAGATTTAAGGGTATTTTCACTTCTATCTCTATCAATCATCATTCCTAGTATTTTCTTTGCCTTCCCTAAGTTCTTCATATCAAATTCAGTATTTGATTTGGCCTTTAAAGCATTAATTTGAGACATGGACTTACTAATTATTAACATGTCATCTACATATAACAGAAGATAGATTGACATGTTATTCATACAGATAAAATAAAAACAGTTGTCATACATGCTTCTAGTGAATCCATTTCCTATTATGAATGCATCAAACCTCTTGTACCATTGTTTAGGGGGCTGTTTAAGTCCATACAGAGATTTATTCAGTAAGCATACATAATCAGGCAGTTTTTTATCCTTAAAACCTAAAGGTTGACTCATGAATATTTTCTCATCCAACTCACCATGCAAGAAAGCAGTTTTAACATCCAATTGTTCTATCTCTAAGTCATATTGAACAACAATTGCTAGCATGATTCTAATAGTTTTAAATTTAACTACTGGAGAAAATATTTCAGTGAAATCAATACCTGCCCTCTGAGTGTAGCCCTTAGCCACTAACCTTGCTTTGAATCTTAGTGGATCAGATTCATTTATCCTTTCTTTCAGTTTGTACAGCCATCTACATTCCACCAACTTCTGATTCTTTGGCTTTGGAACTAGTGTCCAGGTTTTGTTTGAGTGCAATGAATCCATATCTTCTTCCATAGCAACCATCTATTCTTTTCTGTCCTTTGAACTCATTGCCTCATCATAGGTGTTAGGTTCTGATCGATGTACCTTTGAACCAGCCAGGAATGCTGTATAGATCAGGTCAACATAGTTGTACCTTGCAGGAGGTATGATCTCCCTCCTGACACTGTCTCTGGCTAACTGATATTGGGTCAGATTACCATGCTAATCCAATTCAGCATTATCAAGAGGGTGATCTTCATCCTCCTGCTCTTGAGTTTGCTGTGGTTGATCTTCAAGTGGATCAGACTCATATGTTTGGATGTAATGATCAAGATTTGTTGCAGGCTCCACCTCAAACTGAGTTGTCCCAGTTTGTCTAGAAGTTTCAGAATCTTCTTGTGAGCTACCTGCACTGTTAGTGCCAGATTTACAAGGAAAAACAGTTTCATTAAAAATCACATCCCTACTAACAATTACCCTTACCCCTAGGGCAGCCCTTTCCCACAGCCTATAAGCCTTAGTTCCCTCTTGATATCCTAGAAAAACACACTTAAGAGATCTTGGCTCTAACTTTCCATCTCTAGTATGTGCATATGTAGCACATCCAAAGACTTTTAGGTGTTCAAGAGATGGTTTCCTCCCAGACCACCTTTCTTCAGGGCACTTAAAGTCTATTGAGCTAGAAGGGCTTCTATTTATAAGATAGGTTGTTGTACCTAGTGCTTCCCCCCAAAAGGTTTTTGGTAGACTAGCTGTGAATAAGAGGCATCTAACCCTCGCTAGAAGGGTTCTATTCATTCTCTCAGCAACCCCATTCTGCTGAGGGGTTCCCCTAACTGTCATATGCCTCAAAATTCCCTCTTCTACACAGTAAGAGTCAAACTCCTGGTTACAGAATTCTAAGCCATTGTCTGTCCTAAAGGTTTTCACCTTCCTATTAACTTGGTTTTCAACCAGGCTTTTCCAGCCTTTAAACTTAGTTAAGGCCTCATCCTTGGACCTAAGAAGGTACACCCATACCTTTCTACTATAACCATCCATAATGGAGAGGAAATAGCAATTCCCTCCATGTGTCCTAACCCTTTCAGGACCCCAAAGGTCTGCATGCACATAATCCAACCCTTTTTCAGCCAGATGAGTTCCCTTTTGGAAACTCATTGTGTGTTGTTTTCCCAACACACAAAATTCACAGAAAGTTAATTCAGATATGGATTCCTTACCAAAATAGCCTTGCTGGCTTAACACTGTCATACCTTTTTGGCCTATATGGCTAAGTCTCAAATGCCATTTCTCTGCAGCAGTCAGATTATTAATGATAGGGCAGAATTTACAGTGAATGCACAATGTTGACCACACAAAATGTACAGCCCATTTTGTTTGACCCCTTCAAGCAAAATTTCATTATTCTTATACACAACTATGGATCCTTTTTCTGTCTTATAACTACATCTAGCTTCATCCAATGTTCCTAAGGAAATCAGGTTTCTTTTAAGGTCAGGTATATACCTTACTCTAGTTAACATTATGACTTTGCCATTATTTAACCTAATGGTTATGTTTCCTATACCTTGAACCTTAGAAGAGTGATTATTACCCATGAAAACAGTTTCTAACTCTCATTTCCTAAAGTTTTGGAACCATTAGATGTTTGGGCTCATATGAAAGGTGCATCCCGAATCTAGAACCCATTCCGTACTGCTAGCTTGGTTTGAGACAGTGAGGGCTTCTGAAATTTCAATGCCAGTGCTAGTGCTAGCGAGATTACTCTCTGTATTGTGCTATTTTTGTTTCTTTATCCAATCATAGCAGTTTTTCTTAAGGTGGCCTGGTTTATTACAGTGAAAACACCTCCTAGTTTCTCCCTTAGACTTGTTATTCTTCCCTTTTTTCTTAGTCTTAGGGTTCATGTGTTGTTGGAAATTCTTGTTACTATCCTTTCCTAGTTGTCCAAGATCTATCCTACTCTTGACAAACAAGTTATTTCTATTCCTTTTCTGTATTTTCAACTCCAATTCCCTAGATTTCAGGCCAGCTATAATCAGGTCAACACTGGGAACTGTCCCAGTGTATTGTAAAGCATTTTTCACCACTAAGTACTCATCAGGCAATGAATTTAACAGTATCATCGCCAAACTAGAATCTCCTAGCTCTTGATTTGTACCTTTCAACACTAATGTCATCTTAAGAAACTCATCATGGTTTTCTTCTACAGACTTAGTAACATCCATTTTATAAGAGAATAAAGCTCCTTTAAGGAATGCTAAGTTTGGTGCAGACTGTAAGGAATAAAGGGATTTGAGTTTACCCTAGAGTGTGAGCGGTGTTTCCATGCCATCTACCTTTTGCAGGACTGCATCGGACAGATTCATTATGATTAGATTATAGGCTTCCTCATCCACTTCAGCCTTCTTTTTCAGTTTCTCTTCAGACCACTTGGTGGTGTCTTTTTCCAAAGCAAGCCCTACCTTATTATATGAAATGAGGGCCTTCATCTTCTTTTTCCATGTATTAAAATCGATCTTCCCACCATATTAGGAGATCTCCATACGAGTAGTGCTCATTGTACTATAATGATAGGGCAGGATAGTCTAAGGTGTACGTGGTGTTATTATACCAGAGGTCACCAAGTACTGCCAGGCAGTTTTTAAGGTGGTTACTGGTTTTCCAACTGAGATACCCTTAAACTTTTCAAACAAGACGAAAGTAACAATACTACTACAAGGGGCAAGATAGTCTAAGGTGTACATGGCATTGTTATACTAGAGGTCGTCAAGTACTGCCATACAGTTTTTAAGGCGGTTACTGGTTTTCCAGCCGAAATACCCTTAAACTTTATCAAACAAGACGAAAGTAACAATACTACTATAGCCCCTAGGCAATACCAAGATTTCTCCCCCTGACTCATGTTTGTGACTTAGACTAACCAATTCGACCAGATTTAGGACGATTTGAGACCCTAAAGCTCTAGAAGCTTTTAATTCGAAAAACCCCCAAATCCTAACAAAACCCTAATTTTGATTTTGCACGAATTTCGTCGATCCCTTGTGTTTGTGACCTAATCTCACGAATTAATCCTAAAACTCGACAAGATTCGAAGTCCTAATTATCTAGGAACCTTTAAATCGAAAAAACCTCAAAACTGACAAACCCTAATTTCGAATTCGTCAAGAATTAAACGATTTCTAAACCTAGATACACCTTAGAACTTTGGCTTTGATACCACTGTTATAACCCAAGCCTAATTAATCAATTCGCAATACAAACAAACACAATCAAGATTCAAGATCAAAACACACAAAAAATCAAGGCACGAATTTACCGTGGTTCGTCTATCCAATCTTGGATAGACTACATCCACGTTGAGCTCCGAAATACGGATACTCACAGCACTAAAAGATTATCCAACAATTACAAGAAGAAAACCATACAAATCTGCCGAAGTAGAGCAACACTCAACCTAGGCCTATTCGCTTAAGAAACTCTCTACAATCTGCAAGAAACAGAGGACTTAAACCAGCCTCAAGAAGGAAACGCAACCCTCTCTCTAACCTACCCAGATTATTCCCAGAAAGCCTCAGCAAATACCCAACCCTAGTTGCTCTCTAATCTTTCGCACAAACCCTAACTTTTCAAATTAGAAAATAATGCGGCTATTCACAACACTGTTGCTTCTTTTATATATGCACATATCAGCAAATATCAACCCTTGGATCTATCTTGATCTGACGGCCAGGATTCCTTTAATTAACTTAAATGAAACGACCCCGTTTTTGGCTTCACATTATTTTTTCAGATATAAATTTAGCAACAACATGCATTGCATTTCCCTGGTATTTGTAAATTAACGTTGGCAATATAAATTCACTTTTTGTGAACAAAAAAGAAAACAATTTAACCCCGTCAGTCTGGGGTGTGATTGTATATATAGTAGTATACTTTGAGCTTAGAAAGTGTTCTTTTTTCCTGGAAAATTATTGGATTATTAGCATAATCAGTTAATTAGGTTCAGTTAATTAGTTTAGTTAGCTAGTTAATTTGTTAATCTGTTAATTAGTTAGTAATCTGTTAGTTAGTTGTTAATTAGTTGTAGTTAGTTGTTAATCAGTTGTTATGGTTAATTAACTGTGGTTGACTAACTATGGTTACTTGTATATATAAGCTTCTCTGCTTGTAAACAAATTCCTAAAAAGCTAAATAAAAATTCTCTTCTCTCAAATGCGATTTCTTCATGGTATCAGAGCAGTGTTTTTCAACTGCAAAATCAGTAGCTTCAATTAAAGATTCAAGTTAGAATCAACTCTGTTTTTTCTTTTTCTTCTTCATCTCTCTGAAATCAGAATAAGTTCATCCAGCTGTTAGCTAAAATCTGTTGATTAATTCGACTGAATTTCTGCATAAAGTTGAAACAAATTCATCTCATAATGTCAAGTGTTACTGACTCAAGTTCACCTCTCTACATACATCCATCAGATACGCCTGGTTCAGTCCTTGTTTCAGAGCAACTTACGGGAATGGAAAATTATGGGATTTGGAGCCGTGCGATGATTGTTTCTTTAAGAGCAAAAAACAAATTAGGTTTTGTTGATGGATCTTGTGAGAAGGTAAATTTCAATCAATCTTTGCATGCACAGTGGGAGCGTTGTAATTCCTTGGTGTTAGCTTGGATTTTCAACACTGTTTAAAGGAAATCTTCAACAGTATTGTATACTCTAGTAGTGCGCAACAGGTTTGGCAAGATCTTCAAGAACAATACCACAAGTTCAATGGCACAAGAGTCTTTGGTATCCACAGAGAGATAGTTAACATGATGCAAGGAACTCACTCGGTTGCAATATATTACAACAAGCTGAAAACTCTATGGGATGAACTCAACTCATTGGTGAGTTTGCCACCACCTGACAGTGAATCAGCTAAAGCATATTTGGCACATCTTAACCAACAAAAACTTCTACAGTTCCTTATAGGACTTAATGACTCATACATTGGTGCGAAGTCAAATCTTGTTAATGGTTCCCCTACCTTTTGTCAAACAGGCTTATTCAATTGTAAATCAAGATGAAAGCCAAAAGGTCTTGACTGGATTTAATCAAAACACTGAAGTTACTACGACTCTTTACTCACAAGGGAATCAAAGAAATCAGACTCAGAGCTCAAAATATAAAGGAAAAAAACCCTATGTTGAATGTGATTACTACCACATAGCAGGACACAAGAAGGATAATTGTTACAAATTGCATGGATATCCGGCAGATTTTCAGTTTACCAAGAATAAGTCAGGATCAAAAGCTAAAGCCAATCAAGTTCACTCAAGTCAAGAATCAGATTCACAAACTGAATCAACAACCGACAACAACAAAGGAGTTAGCTTAAGCAATGTTTTAACTCCACAGCAGTATACTTAATTATTGATTCAGTTACTAGGCAAGGAGAACTTGGGAACACCATCAGCTAACCTGACAGGTAATATTGTTTCCCTATTTTCAAATTGTGGTGTTATTGATGATTGGATTCTTGACTCGGGAGCCACTGATCATATGACTCATAGTGTCCAAAATTTTACATCTGTTGATAATAAATCATCTACACCTAGTTGTGTTAGTCTCCCAAATGGAACAAAAACATCAATTCAACATATAGGGACTGTCAGCCTACAAGAAAATTTGTCACTGGATAATGTTCTATACATACCAGATTTTAAGTATAATTTATTATCAATTTCTAAAAGTTAGCCTCTGATGGTCAATGTTCTATCACTTTTTATCCGGATTTTTGTGTGATCCAAGATCTTTGGAATGGCAAACTGAAGGGGATTGGTAAGGAACACCAGGGGCTATATCACTTCATGCCAATTTCAAAAATCATCTCTTTTTTTCCTGGTTTTGTTTCAGCCTTAAATACACATTTGAGAATCAAAGTTTCTGATTGTAATAAAGCAACAGATTGCAAATCTCTCAATGTAGCTACTGATTCTTCAATAAACACATTGTCTCAAATTAAGGATGTTGTTCTTTGGCATAGGAGATTAGGACATGTTCCTTTATCAATCTTGCAGGATTTACATCATACTTTTAATAATCATTACAAGTTCCATTGTGACACTTGTCCTTTAGCCAAACATACCAGGTTATCTTTCCCTACCAGTAACACAACCACTTCTCACACATTTGAACTGTTGCATTTGGATGTTTGGGGCCCTTACAAGATTGCTACTCAAGGTAATGCACATTTCTTTCTCACTGTGGTAGATGATTTCACTAGGACCACGTGGATTTTTTTGCTACAATTCAAGTCTGATGTATTCTAGACTTTGAAGAATTTTTTGCAAATGGTTCAGAATCAATATAATCACACTCCTCAGTATGTTAGAACTGACAATGGCACAGAATTTTTCAATAATCAGTGTTGTGAATTGTTGTCTAGCTTAGGGATTATACACCAAAGCACTTGTGTCTACACTCCACAGCAACCTGATTACTTGTGGGGATATGCTGTCAAAGTTGCTGTATATATAATCAATCAGTTACCTACCAAAGTTTTACATGGATTATCTCTTTTTGAGAAGTTTTATGGCCATAAGCCAAATTTGGATCATTTGAGAGTCTTTGGCTGTTTAGCCTATGCTTCCAATCTGCCTATTCAAGACAAGTTAGCTCCCAGATCAGTACCCTGTGTTTTCCTTGGGTATTCATCCACAAAAAAGGGTTATATACTATATGATTTGACTTCTCAGAATGTTTGCATTATCAGAGATGTTTTATTTTATGAACAGATTTTTCCTTTCTCATTACAGCAAGCTCCTAAATCTTCTTTTCCAGCTGACATTTCTACTGCTACTTTTATGGAAGAAGAGCCTACTGCATATTTTACTCCCCATATTCCTGACACAGATTCGACTCTATCTAGATCCTCCTCTGCACCTCCTGCACCTTTCTCTGTTCAGAATCTAGCTCATACACCACCAGTATCTACCACTCTGATTCGAAGATCCAGCAGACCTACTCGACCTCCCATTTGGACCACTGACTTTGTGTGTCCTACCCTGCCCAACTCCAATCAGATTAGCCTTTTAAAGTACCCTATTCATAACTATCTCACATATGCCCATCTGTCATCAGCCTATCAAACCTGTTTGTCCAGTATTTCAGCCCTTTCTGAGCCTACTTCTTTTACTCAAGCTTCCAAGGATCCTCATTGGATTGCAGCTATGCAAAAGGAACTTCAGGCCTTGGAGAGAAATGACACTTGGTCCCTTGTTCCTCTACCTTCCGGGAAGACTCCAATAGGGTGCAAATGGGTTTATAAGCTCAAATATCATGCTGATGGGACTCTAGAGAGATATAAAGCCAGATTGGTAGCCAAAGGTTTCACCCAGCCGGCGGCATTATTAGGGAACCTTTCTCCATGGGGAAGATGGTGACTGTAAGACTAGTTTTGCTATTGCTTCTATGGAAAATTGGCCATTATTTCACTTAGATGTTGACAACGCCTTTCTCCAAGGGGTCCTTTAAGAGGACATTTATATGCAAGTGCCACAAGGCTCTCTAATCATCATGATAAGTCCTTAGTGTGCAAACTCCATAAGTCACTGTATGGCTTAAAACAGGCTTCTAGGGCCTGGAACACTAAGTTGACTAATGCTTTCTGGCTGTGGCTTCCTTCAATCTCCAGCAGATCACTCATTCTTCATAAGCGCAATCATGATCAGATTGGGCTTCTATTGGTATATGTTGATGATCTGGTCATCACTGGCAGTGACAATAGGTTGATTGCAGAAACTAAAGCTCTCCTATTCCAACTTTCACTTTCAGCTTAAAGATCTTGGTTCTCTCAAATATTTTTAGGCTTTGAGGTTGCTCGATCTTCCAAAAGAATCTGTCTTTGCCAACGTAAATATGCTTAGAGATAGTTGATATTATGGCTTAGTTGCTGCCAAACCAGCTTCTGTTCCTCTTGATCCCAATTCAAATTCACTACTGTGGACTTTGATAAATCTTTCCAACAGCTCAGCTTCACATCAGCAGGATCTTCCCTTAGCTGATCCTACAGTTTATCAGAATTGGTTGGCAGATTACTCTACTTATGTCTCACCCGTCCAGATATTACATTTGCTGTCCACTTGCTTAACCCATCCACTTGCTTAGCCACATTCTCTTCTCTCAAATGCGATTTCTTCAAAAATACCTATTTGGTGTTGCTTCAAAAACCTAAGAATATTTTGTGTTTTTCAACTAAACATTTCTATGTTCCAAATATTTTTTGGGTTGATTCGAGACTCTGTAGGCAAACCAAAAGTAAAACTTAATATAAGTTTGTCTCCAGCTTTTTTCTAATTGATTTAAATCTATAAATCATGAATTACATAAACACTCTTTTACAATTCATATGTTGTCTAATACAGTTTTAATATGTAAATAAATAAATTAATATAATAATTCACATACGATAACATCTAATTTGATATATTAATAATACTGAATTTTATAATCCTCATAATATACAAAATGTGATGTCATTTAGGAAGCAGATCAGGAACAAATAATATTATTCTAATTGGAGTGGTTTACAATAACTAAAAAAAATAAAAAAATTGAAGTATTGAATCCTAATATCGTGATTATTGAAAACGACCAAACTACGTGCAATATCCAACAAGATTATGAGAAATCTGTTAAAATATTTATGAATATACTGGGAAGCATTGAGTTGCTTGCATTAAAAATTAAAATAAGAGAGGGCCGTGGGCAAATAGCGCTGCTCATGGCCTATCCGATGGAATTATATAGTGTAACTTTACGTGGTCTATGGCCCACCTTATCTTTTAGCCACGTGATTTATTAACATCAGCGGATTCACCAATTTGTGCGGTTGTGCCACTTGCTTATAAAACATTTCTCTTCAAATTGCGTTCCGATACTACTGTTCAATTTCTTGTCGCACCAAATCTGATTACGATAAAAAAAATACATTGATTGGATTAGATTCTTTTGTAACCCTAATACTCACTTCCAGATCTTATCAAGATTCCTTAACAAATCCATAAAATAATAAGGAAGAAATAAGTAAGCCATGTTTCGACAAATTCCATAGATTCATGTAAATATATGGAGAGGATCATTAATTCTGTTCTATATTGTTGTGATAGTGCTGATTTATCTTATATTTAATGGGTATATATTGTTGATGCGGATTTTAATATCAACGAAAAGGTACATAAGACTTCAAGGAATATTATCAAAGGGTCTGAGATATGAATATGATGTTGAACCTGTGAATGATAATAAAAATATACGTAAAAGAAATGAAATAACATGCAAGAATAATTTTAAAGTGGTTCAGATGTAAAAAATAATTCATACATCGATTGTTATTTTATTAATGTTTACAGAGAATATTGCTCTAGAGAGATAACTGCTTTATATCTATTCAGAAAATCAAAGATCAATCTCTGGTTTGAGGGTGGAGACCCCTACTATAGTATTCCGAAGGTAATTTTAAGAATGAACTATGAAATAATTCACATACAATCTGACATGTGATAATACACTTGTTAACTTATAAATGAAATAGGTTATATGCAAATTAACACGTAACTTGAAAGATAACTTAAGGCGAAGATCCCACTACGGACCTAAATGTGGCTTTTAAGAGGTGGTTTGGCTTTTAAAAGAGTTGTCTTCTAGAGAGTTAACACGCGTTTTGATGATGGCACCTTGGCGACACATGACGTTAATTCAATTTGCATGAATTTATTACCGAAGAAATATATACCAATTGTTGTCTTTTTAAAACAGTTTGTCAGTAGAAGCACTGTGAAGACGACGGTATTGATAGCAACCGCATCGTTTGAACTGTCTCCATAATGTAACCGAAAAGCCTAGCGTTGCTTTGACAGCTATGGAATTGATGTTATGTGTGTTGTTGGTGTGGATAAACGTAAGTTAACGTTATAATTCTCTGCTGGAATTATATGTGTTTAATCAAATCGATACAGGAAGAAGATAGTAAATTTTAATTTTGTGTATAGTATTTTCAACACTGAAAATCAAACCTTTTTTCTAGTATATAAAACGGCTCAAAGTGGACTTGAATTTGATTGTGAAAAATTAGTAACTTTACTGAGTTTTGCTTACATTGAATGGAGAAAGAAAAAATTAGATTAATAAGAAACAATACATGGAATGTAAGTATAAAAATATGAACATGTTGGTGATTAATTATAAAGAAGCTCAAATTATGCAGATGTATTGAAGTGATGGAAACACAAAAGCAACACTATCCAAGTAAATTCGTACATAATCTATATATAGTAACTCATGTACTGTTTTCTAGAGGGCACTAAATTTTATGAAAAAAGAAATTACACAGTGATATACAAAACATAATCGACCTGTTCAATGGTCAG